ACTATGAATATGTACGTTTGTTTATTACGTCTTAATTACACCGAATAAATCGCTTTCTCTTTAACTCTTAATAGTTGCTATAAGCACTTATCGTGTTGCGTGTGTAGCGTGGATTGGAATAAGCAGAATTGAATCATTTGATTCCATTGGAAACTGTCACTAAGAGAATTAAAAGTGGTTATAAGTATTTGCCAGATGCCTGCCAGGTTGTGCAACCAATTTTCTGGTAAGTAGAAATCGGAAGATCGTGAGAATCGACTCGAGATCCAAGGGTTAGCATCAGAGTAACAAATTTTTCATATCATTTCACATAAGTCTATCAATCAACCGTCACTAATCATCAGTTTGTGCTGACTTCATCATGTGCTTGTGGAACGCCAGTTTGGAGGCGACCCTATAACGAACTAGCTTTTCACTTGTTTTGAAAAATTTTTATTAGCACCCCTCTACATCAAACTAGGAATCGTTGAAAAACGATTGTAGTATGGGATTATCTAAAAGCTGTTACTGAAAATCTCGGAATTAATCGATCTGAAAACTGGTGCATGCTAATTAACCAAGTTTAATGATTTTCCTCATTCATGTTCGACTATCACTAAAAATTCATTTTTTTCATTCATATGTGGAAAAATTCAGAGAACTATTACCAAATTAATGCGATGAACATGGTGAGCATTTTCATCCAGTAACAGCAAGGCTCCTACGTACATACTAAACAAACGACTCCAGCAATTAACTGAAAATATTGTCGGGAAATATCAAATCGGTTTCCGAAAAGGAAGATCTACAACTGATCAGCTTTTCACAGTGAAACAAATCGTAGGAATACGGCATTGACGTCCACATAGATTTTAAACCATTAATAGATTTTAAACCATTCCATTCATAGATTTTAAACAGGCCTATGACTCAATAATTAGATACAAATCATATAAAATATTGCATAGCTTTAACATGGATAGTGTTTAAATTGTTGATTTAAATTGACTGGTCACTGATTAATCGTGGTGCTAAATAGTTTGTAAAACGAAATTCTCTTCACACGTTCTTTATTGTGTACTCTTATGGCAACATATGAAAACATATTGAAATTATAAAATTCTAACGACTTTGTCTATTGCTGACAGGGTTGCCGTCTAGGCGAATTAAAACTTAGGGCTAGGAATTCACACATATATATATATATATATATATATATATATATATATATATATATATATATATATATATATATATATATATAGAATAAAATGCAGTTTGGTTTTCGGAAAGCACTTGGAACTAGAGAAGCAACTTTCGATCTCCAGGTACTTATACAGCGGTGTAGAGACGTTGATAAAGACGAGTATTTGTGCTTTGTAGATTTTAGAAAAGCATTTGACAATGTCAATCATGAACAATTGATAGGTATTCTGCGAAAGACAGGTATTGACGACAAGGACATCGAATTGTGGCAAACCTATACTGGGGTCAAACAGCAAGAGCAAAAATTGGCAACGATTTCACTGAAAGCGTGCAGATCAAAAGAGGTGTCCGTCAGGGGTGTATATTATCCCCACTCCTATTCAATATGTATTCCAAGGAAATATTTAACAAATGTATGGAAAATGCAAATGAGGGCATAAAAATAAACGGCGAGTTAACGAACAATATAAGATATGCCGACGACACGGTGATCCTTGCCAGTACCATAGACGAATTACAACAAGTAATGGAAAGACTTTATTCAGTTAGTGAGGAATACGGCCTGAGCCTCAACTTCAAGAAGACAAAGTGGATGCTGATAAGCAAAAAGCAACAACCTGCTCGACAATTACGGATAAGTAACATACTAATTGACCATGTAGAATCTTATGTGTACCTTGGCACCAACGTAAATGCAAAATGGGAACAGACCATAGAAATTAAGGCGAGAATAGAACGAGCTAGAGCAGCATTTAGCATATGAAAAAGCTCCTCATAAGCAAGGATTTGTCTCTTCCCTTAAAACTACGTATAGTTAAATGCTACATTTCCGATCTTGCTGTATGGCGTGGAGGCCTGGACGCTGACGGAGACGCTAACGAGGAAACTAGAAGCATTCGAAATGTGGGTGTACCGACGCATTCTTCGTATATCCTGGACCGAACATGTCACCAACATAGAGGTACTCCAAAGAATCGGAAAGGAGAAAGAAATCGTGAATACAATTAAACAAAGAAAGCTTGAATATCTAGGCTACATATTGAGACACGATAAGTACCGTCTGCTACAATTGATTGTCCAAAAAAAAAAGGGAAAATAGACAGTAAGCGAGGGCCAGGCAGGAGAAGACACTCGTGGCTCTAAAATCTGCGGAAGTGGTTCGGGCTCACATCGGTCGAACTATTCAGAAGCGCCGCAAACAAGATCAAAATTGCCATGTTAATAGCCAACGTTCGCAACGGACAGGCACTTGAAGAAGAAGATAGAATAAAATATTTTGAAATAATTTTAAACACATAGCATTCCAAAAATACATCCGAATAGCAAAAGCAATAATTGACTCGTGAACAGCAACTGTCAGAATACAAAATGAGGTCACTGAGAACTTTTTTATAGTCAAATGATCAAAGAAAAAAGACGGTCGGCACCGACACTATTAAACCTGATTCTCGAATAAGCGATAAGATAGTAAATATAGGAAGAGCTAATCTCCTAACAAATAATGCAATACACATTGCGGCCTACGCCGATGGCATCAGCATTATGTAAAACAGGAATAAAAGAGACCAAATTAGAAATAAATAAACAAAAGAAAAAATACTGAATTTGTCGAAAGTTTCTCATATTTGGAAGTTGCATTAGGTAAGGATGGAACAGTTAAATTGTGGCTTATTTCCAATTAAAATAGTAATTGCGTTAGAAGAACCAGAAATCCAAAGAAGTATGGAAAATCGAAACAAAGTCCTAAGGAAAATATCTGAACTCATTAACGAATAGTAAGCCCTAGATAGTATAACACAGAGCGCAAGATCAAAAAGTAGGCACGGAAAAGGTGGGAGGATGAAGTGGCAGTGGACGCGCAAAATTTGCTAGACGTAAGAGGCTGGAGAAGATCGACGCAAGACCGGTAAGGTTGAAGGCATAGTTTGGAAGAGATCAAGGCTCGCTTGGGTTGTTGCACCATTGATAAGAGAGATGGCAAGGATCAAACACTGGTACTGTACAGCAGCAAAAAACTACATGCTAAGTTAAATTACTTTTTTCGAATAATTTCGTATGTATCTTTTCTTGTTTATAATAAATATTCAAAAAAGAATGAGAAATGCAGTATTTTGAATTTTTGCACAAAATTTTTAAATGGAGATTACCCAACTACACGAGCTAACTTTCACTATTATATAGCACGATTAGATACTTATTTGGTAGTAATGGTTGGCACTAACGAATTCAGCGTTCTCGAATTAGATCAGCAGCTTCCCATATTTTACGATTAGCACACTAGTCTATTCGGTAAACCTGTAGATGTATATTGACTTCCCATCCGTCACTACAGTTTTCACAACATTTGAATTATTTACTGATATATTTGGAATTTAAACAGTTGGAGATTTTTTATAAAATATTAGAGGTTATGTCCCATAGCAGTCCCGTATACATATACATGCCAGCTATAAGGGGTCAATAATACAAGCTATTCAGTTGGTTTAATATTTTAATATGGTAGGTAGTTGGTTCTATACAATGTTACAATATTTTTTAACAATTATTGTCAATAGTCAAGCCATTAGTTGAGTTTAAATCGGGGAAAAAGCAATATATTTGATGCTATATAGACAAACAAAAAACTCACCTGTACAATAAACAAAAATAATAAAAAAGCATGCAAAAATGTAAAGTGTGAAAACCCTTAAAGTATCACATAGATTACAAGCTATTTATCATCAAAGATAAAGATATCATTGATTTTTATGGGTAACTTAAACACATAAAGAAAGTTTATGTTCAAACATATATTTTATTACACATTGTTCAACACTGTTGTGACTAAACGATCACCAAGAATGATTTAGATATGAAGAATGGTGTAACAGTATTTGATTAGTTACTATATATACCAAAGTGGCGTATCAATGATTTTTATAGTAAAAAAAAACTCAGTAATTCAATCGCCGATCAGGAAACAAGCTACTGGAAAATCAATTACTTCGACAAACAAAAATACGAACACGGAAAGAATATATATAGAAGGCCTCTTCCAAAATTAAACACTCGCTCAAACATTATTAGAGGAAGCAGACAGCGGGCCAATGATAATAAAGGAAGAGATACTAGATTCCTTTAGTGGTTAGGGACTAAAGTGCCACTAAACCTCTAAAAATCATACAACCAAGCTGAATTTTGCTAAAAATGTCAATTTTAGGACCGCAGAAAAAATGATTCAGATAAAAATGTAGCTGAGATAATTTTGAACAAAAATGTTTATTAGCACTTTTGTGTAGCATGAACCGTTCTGTTCGCTCTACAAATAAAATTTGTATCAACTCGTATCAACGGTAAAATTCGATATCTTTTGATCAGAGTATCCAATCGACAAAAATCAAAATACGTTTTAAAAGTGAACAGTGCAGCTTTCGTATACAATTTTTACAGTTTGCCGTAGACGAAGTCACTCTCTTTAAAGGTGTTAAATAAATAAACTGAGATAAAATAAAATTTATCACTTCCATTAACCCGTCACTATGGAATTTTCATTTCCAACGCCTAATTTAAACTTTCATTCAATACGTAACTTACTTGCAGCCAAAAAAAAAAAAATTACACATTGGTTCTAAAGATTTTTGATTGGCTGTTCGCTGTCTTTATATACTATGTCAAATTGTTGTTAGTTTTGGGTTTAGTCCTAAGGCTCAATTTACAGGCATATTTTTATTTTAATAATCCATGTGATACTATGATTGATATGTACAAAAACACAAAAGCACAAAAACGCCTAACATTCCCTAGGTAAACAATCAAACCCCATATAAGGTACTTACAGTGGTAGGTTGAGGTGCTAACGTATGTTTGCTCATAACTATTGTAGTAGTTTTTAGTTCCGAATTAGGAGACTTCGGAGGAACTGAATTTTCCATAGGACCATGTGCTAGAGTCTCTACTGCTCTTACTACGTCCAAAACCTAAAAAAGAAACAATTTGTCAGTTTTTCGTCTCGAAATACAATTTTGCAACTGTATTGGTTGAAGAATATTTAACATCTTAAACGTATAAATAGTATAAACTTCTATCTATCTATCTAATTAGACTTCTTCGGTCCATCTTTGGACATAGGCCTCCCCAATCCTTTTCCATTCTTCTCTGTCTGTCGCAACAGTCATCCATCTAGAGCCCACGTGCTTCTTGATATCATCTGCCCATCTCATTTGGGGCCTTCCTCTGCTTTGTTTATATTCCCACGGTCTCCAACTTATAAGAATTTTGTTCAATCGGTCTTCTTTTTGTCTTATATAGTGTCCGGCAAATCTCCATTTCAGTTTTGCAACTTCTTGTCTAACATCCCTCACTTTTGTTTTCTCTCTTATCCTTTCAGTAAGTATAAACTTACTGAAAGGAAATGAGAACAGATGTTGGAACGATGGACAAAAGCGGAATATTTCGCTGGTGCCTATGAAGAGTAGAACTTGTAGCAATCCAATTTTCTTTAGATAATTTTTTTTAAGAAACTACTTTTATCTAACCTTGTGTCTAGGGATTATTTTTATCGCTCTAAATAAGTCATGCATGCGTACTTGAAAGTTCCCCTTTTCGTAATAAATTAGTTCTGGGCGTAACTAAGTTAAAAGTGTTAGGATTTTCCATGAGAACCAACTGATATTATGAACATAACTGTATACTCCATTCTTAAAAAAATAAAGCTGAGAGCGTCTTAATAACACCGTTCTCAAAATTTAACTAGTTTTGCCCGAACTTATAAACGAAATAGTAAAACAAAATTTCAACTTAGTTCTGAATTCTTTAGTTTAGTTGTGGCGATACCTGCTGTTTCTGCGGTAAGATTAATCATTCTCTGTCTATCTATTTTTATTCCACTCTTTTGCCACCTTCCTACCAACAACACGAAACAGATTACCTGAGGGTATTGCACCCTAATCTGTTTGGCATCTATTCCACCAGTTTACAGGGCTTTAGCACATGTCCTCTTCAGAAGCCAAAGACTTGTTTAAGTGAGTGTTAATGAATTTATAGACTATTTTTGCTTTTATGTTTAATTACGGAACTTTTTTTGAAAGAATATAAATTTTACATATAGTTTCATTATTAAGAGGATACTTTTTGTTTTGACTTATCCTTATTCATTTATAAAGAAAAGGAAGCTGTTGTAGCTTCATTTTAAGCTGAACGAAATTAAGGCTTTTTCTTCAATTCCAACTTACACTCTAATAGCTTTTAATTATCCTTTTTTTGTGTTAGGAAATTTAGAGTATTAATTAAATCAATTTGCGCTTCAAGTTTTATTTTAGTTTATTTAAGGACTGCAACTTGATTTTTTTGTTCATAAGTTTACTAATGACAATATGGTTATATGTAAATTGTTTTTGAATATTAATATATTTTTGAGACTAATCATTTCATTTAAATAATATTAATTTATTGACGATATAACTTTTTTACGTTATTTTATTAAATATATAATTTTTCTTTCAGCTTATGGATAAATATGTCGATTTTTATAGTTTTGCGTTGATAATTCTTTAATATGTTTTCTGACGTGTTTTTAACGTCTTTAAATGAAATGTCGATTTAATGTCTAATTAATTTAATCTTAGGTCCTCTATAAATCTCAGGTTAAAACTTATTGGCGCCCTTAACTCTGGCAGTATCTGGCAATATAACTAAGTATTCAGTATTTCCGGTTTCTTTATGTCAAATGTTATATTTTGTTATCTTTTTACTATCTACTTGTTATGTATCTGTCCTTTATCTACCTGCCTTTGATATGTTATTTTTCAATCAATTATATCCTTACTCACCCCCAATGAAGCGCTGAATTGAGCAACGAGACCTTCGTTAAATATTTGTGAACGACTAGCTTCCACCACTTACTCTTCCTAGCTTTTTCGTTACAAACTCAAAAAAAAAACACAAAGAGTATAATTCTCAATAAACGAGACAAAAAATATTATTTGTAATAACCCTTAATAAAGCATTAGCGAAAAGAATTCCCTTTGATGAAAGCCAATGAAATTAATAATTCTTGTTTGTGTGCCAACTGTCAAAGAAAAATATTATTACTGAAAAACTTCCGGCGGAGTACTTTTCGCCGAGAGTAAAGTAAGACCGAGAACACGTAGCAGCGAAGTAGGCGGATCCTTAATGCCAATTTTAGGTCTCTGTTACATAACACCTTGGGACATCCTTCTAAAAGCAGCTCTAGCCTGCTCTATTCTGGATCTAATTTCGCCGTGATTTTCTGCATTACAATTTAATTGCTGTCCAAGGTAGACGATTTTATCAATTTGCTCAAGTTTGGTAATTATTTACATATATAGACGGTTTTATATTCTGTTGTTTACTTGTTACAAGTATTTTGGTTTTCCTTATGTTAAGATCCAGACCCTGCCTCCCTACAACTCTCAACGACACTATCAAGTAGTGTTTGCAGATCTTCTTGACTAGAAGCTAGGAGTACTGTATCGTCCGCATATCGCAAATTATTGATGACTTCGCCGTTCACAAGTATTCCTTCTTGTTTTTCAGAAAGTGCTTTTCTGAAAATTCTTTCGGAGTAAACGTTAAAAAGCAGGGGGACAAGAGGCATCCCTGCCGTACTCCTCTTTTAATATTGAGAGCTTGTGATTCCACACCATCTACTAAAACTGATGTTGTTTGATTTCAATAAAATTTGCAATTATTCGAACATCTCTGCCGTCCAAGCCAATGTCTTTTAGAGCTTCGATCAATATAGAGTGCTTAACACGATCAAATGACTTTTGAAAGTCAATAAAACAACAGTATATGTCTACAGATATATCACGACATCTTGAGCAAGTACGTTCATTTCCAAACAGTGCCTCTCTCGTTCCAAATCCGTTTCGGAAACCAATGAGTAACGGTGAACGTGATCACTTCCAATTCTATGTCCTCCAAGATAGTAATTCCTAATAATGCGCAGCGATGAATAAGTGACGACGAAAAAGATATTTCTATTTATATTACCACGAATGGTAATTTTTCTCTATAAAGTCTCTCTAAAAGAATTACTCTTCAAAGAGTGAAGCCGGAAACAATTACTTCTGATTATGCGACTGCGCAATCTGTAACTTTTAAACAATGAGCGGAGAAAAAAGTAACCTCCCACTACGTGAAGGCTACGAGATTCTTATCCTTCCCTGGATTTTAACTGACTGAAACACGAATAACATATCCCAGGTACTGCAACTTTCTGATTTTGATGGTTTCTATTATTTCCGCATTCTTCTCATGACTTCATTGTTTGTTACATATTTTCAGGATTTTCATGTATAGCTACAATTCAAATGCTTCCAGTTTCTTAATTATCGCAGCGTTCAGTTCAGGGTTCCAGCTTCCACTTCATACAGTAATGTCTCCATTTCATATAGTTTTTTTTTCGATTTTAAAAAATAACACTAGCTACTTCTTCTGTTTTTGTTTTATATTTCCACAATACTTTTCTATGTACAGGAAATCAAGCTACTAAGCTTTACTTTTCTATGTACAGGAAATCAAGCTACTAAGCTTTACTTTTCTATTTTAAAAACTCATTCGGGGACATTGGCCAATAACCTACCGCATTGACCTATTCTGGACGGTAGATAGTGGGGATGTAAAGAACGAATTTGAGGTTCACTCATCATATTCTCAGCATTTGAACCGAGTTTTCTCAGTCTGTCGCGCAGACAGGTGCTAAATTCCTAAAGTACGTATACATTAATCTATCGGGATCACAGTGAAGTGTTTACCCGCTATCCAGAGGCTTATCAGAGATAAGTAAATAAAATGTTTAAAGAAGAAAAACCACAATATACTGAGACACATTTGGAAAAATATAAATGAGTGGGTCAAGATTGGTCAAGAAAAACGAAATTTGAATATGCCGTCAGATTTTTTGTAATATATAGAACATACCTTATCTGCAGGAGAAGGTGGTTTTGCTTCTACTAAAGAAAATTCCTCCTCTTCTTCTTGATGGATCGGCTGCAATCGCTTCTCAACTTCATCCTTTTCTAATTGAAGTAATTCAGCTTTTACTTTTAAGTCCTAAAACCATAAAAAATTATTGTGTTATATAAAAAATACAAATAATACGGACTATCTATCAAAAATTTTGTTTTTGCTAACCTGTTGGTCGTCTTCTGGAACATCTAAAGAACTGACGCTCTGGGAACGACTGCTAACAGACCCTCCTCTTGTCAATCTGCCCTCATGGACTGCTCTGTCTATATCACCCTTATCATATCCTTTGCAAACTACCATGTGAATCATGTTTCCACAAGCTCTTAAAGCATTAACAGCTTCTTGATGTGTTGCACCTACAAAAAATAAACATTGCAAAATTCGAAAACGGATGCATTCTACATAGATTTTTTCAACTAATATAAAATTTCGAAAATATCTATGTATGTATTGCATGTAATATGAAGATAGATGTACCTAATAATGACTTTCCATTAACTTCTAATAATCTCATGCCAGCTTTGAGTCTTCCGTCTCGCCTTGCTGCCCCCACAGAGTTGATTTTCGATACGAAAATTCCTTCGTCCGATCTGTCCAGAGGATTACCGCGCTGACCCTGAAGACCACCCTTTATGTGCATGCCAAGCTTTTCGTTATCTGTTTTTTCGATAAACAATTCCTGAAATAACAAAAAATTATTCAGTTTTGAGAACATGTATATTTTAATTAAATTTTACATCAAAGATTGCGAAGAAATTATTATTGATGCCACCGACTGTTCTACTCTTGTGACTAATTACAAAAATATCTATAATCCAACCTGGATGAAAGCATAAAGGTCCAAATCGATCATATTTTATTTGACATGACATTTTATAATTTAAAGTTGAGATTTCCTAAGAGGCTCCGTTAGCGGAAACCGGACGCAGCCGACTTCGGTTCATATTTAGTGGGAATAATTATACGGTGGCGATTTCGTAAGCTCGGTTGCAGTCGGTTACGGAAAATTCCGCTGACTTTTTGGATTTCCGCTGTTGGTTACATTCAGTCTCAGGTAAGTTTCGACAGAAACCGAAATAATATTCAGTAGTAAAAATAACAACATAATTACGAAAGTTTGCATAAAATTGAAGAACAATTTTCATGTACCAATGATAAGCCGTTAATAATTGCCTTCTGCTGATCAATCTAATAATAATTCGTTTATTTATTGCTTTTTGTATAATTTGCAGCATTAACCAATACCTCATCTTCTTTTTATAACAAGAGCGCAGACTTTTCTCCTTCGTAACTCTCGGCGACCGAACATTCCGACCGAACATTTTCAGTTCCGCTTCCGGTTCGACCGGTTCCAATATGAACCTTTAATTATCACCAGATGAGACGGATTGGCCTGGAAAAGTACGGCCACTTATCCACTCCCACGGTGCCTTACAGAGGGGCTTCGACTATAGTTTATTTTTATGAACGAGAGAGTAATTAGCATAATTTTAACTGGTATCTCCGACCCATCGAGCAATAAGACAAAAGAGGGAATCTAATCCTTATGAAAAGGAGACCAAAAAGTGGCCTCTGATGGCGGACATATCCGGAAATGCGAATGCGCGAAATTTAAATTTTCCGACACTTATCAACAGTAGCTATATAATATTTTTCAGAATGTGTCTTAGACGAGAAAGTTTTAATTAATTAATTAATGATAAGAGTCTAAAATGCGACACACAATTTTTAAAAAACTTCAATATAAATAAGATTCCATGTGACATTTGGGACAAACAATAACATAACCCAACTAAATTTGATGTCAAACAAGGAGAGAGACTCTCTATCCTTGTTTAAAGTGGCCTCTAAAGCAATATGTTTGCCACCACTACCTTTACATTCCCTCTATTTCTTTTTGCTCGATGCTCCGACCACTCCATGGGCGTGCTCAAGATTAATTGAAAAATTACTTTGAATAATTGTAAAAAATAAATGAATTATTTCAGTGTTATAAAGTGTTATGTGTATGTAAACAAAAGTGACCTCTTTTATTATCACACACTATATTAGAACTGACTGGCCTACATTAAAAAGAGTTTTAAAAAATTCACAATTTTTTTTAATTTTTAAAAATTACAAAAGAGAAAAAGTTTTTAAAACCGTCTAAGGTATGTTAAATAGATGAATAAAAATATTAATATAAAACTTACAGCTACTTGTTACAAATCCAAATCAGATTCAGAAGATGAACTTTCAGAACCAAGATTTATAATAACTGGCTTGATTATTTTATCAGTAATATTGTCCAGCTTCCACATTTTTTCCTCTTCTTTAATAGTGTGATTTACTGCCTTTTCACAGTTTTCAGGTTTTACATTATTTACGGCCTCCAAAAACAACTGTTTAACGTCATGAATTTTAAAAGTGGTATTTTTTCTTGAAACTTCACTCTTTATCTGTGGGGATCTAAGTACTGTCATTCCACGATTTTTGGCAATTTCATCAATTTCGTATTTTTAAAATTTTTCTTTATGAAGGGCACACAACGAATAAAGTTCCTTTCTTATAGATCCGGATGGTACGTAATATTTTTTGAACTCAGCCAATTCTGCAAGTCTTTTTTTAACCACTTGATTGTGGGCAGTCCTTCTATAAGTCTGGAGTGATAACTTGCATTATCCATTACTATTACACAGTTCTTAGGAAGAAGATCTATCATTTGCTCGAACCATTCTTGAAAGACATCAGCGTTTATGTCTTCATGGTAGTCACCGGTACGAGTTGATTCAAAAATTAATAAACCACCTTCAACAAAACCGTCTGAACTGCCAATGTGTACTATTATCAGCCTGCGTCCCTTTCCTGATGGTGGGTTTAAACCAACAGATAAGTTATTTACAAAAGCGTGCCTTTAACTTGTAACAGTTTCATCCTGCCAAAATTTATTTGGTGTATGACCCTCGTTGATCCATGTTTCATCAAGATAAAATATTTTTCTTTTTTGGTTTCTCATTTCCTTTATGGTTCTTAGAAAATGTCTTCTCCATATGACAATATCGCTTCTTTCTAATAAAATAGACTTTCTGGGATTCTTTTTCCAGCGGAAGCCTATTTCTTTTAAAAGTTTCCATAACGTACTTCGACTCATTTCTGGGTAATCCTTATCATCTCGAACTGAGACAAGAACTTTATCCAATGTTGGAAATTCTTGTCTAAAGAAGAATTCATGCACTTTCCGTCGAAGTCCTGCTTTAAAATGATATTCTATTTTAAATTTTGGTTTCCCTGGAGCATTACGTGGCATTTGAAAACTACCACATTTCTCTTCTTTAATAACTCTGTAAATCGTAGATTTCCCAATACCAAGTGTACTGCTAACTAACTTAACGGTCTCATTAACACTTTCACATAAACGTTTGTCTGTAAATGATTTAAAACAATTAAATATTAATGTTTTTTCATTTACCTATTAAAGGACCATATTTAGAAATACCAACTGTTAAAGGACCAATTTTTCGGCGTTTACACGGCACTTCCAAATTTTTCCATAACACTAGTATACACAATAAACTGCACCTTGCAACTGAAGTACCTACTTTTAGTGAACTGTTAAGAATTTTGAATACGCCACTTGGACCTTCCTACAAAATGGAAAAACCCACTATCACATTTTCTGTGGAATAAGTTTAGAAGGTAATTATCTAGTCAATTACTGTCGTAGATTCCTGGAATTAAAGAATTAAATGTTTGATTGTTGAAACCCTTACTTCGTGGAATGCACTCATTTCAGATAAAATAAAACGTTTTATTTTATCTAAAGAATTAAACTTTATTTTGCAAATAGGTAGGTACTTATTAAACTTTTATTGGTTATATATAACCAATAAAATAAACATCTTACATTTCTTGCAAATTCATTAGTACCTGTTTAACCTCCATCACTCCGACACTGGCAACCTTATTTAGGGATTAGTAACCCTTACAACTATTGTATTCTATTCTGCTCCAACCTTTATACCTGGTGGTCATACTCAATTTAAAATTGTTTTCCTATATACTTCTGTAAACTTGTTGACAAATATCTGTTTTTCATTGAGTCACCCGTATCAACAGTTTAGGGATTTGCATACATAATTTATTGTTTTATTACTCTCTCATACATAAAAATACACTATAGTCAATTCCAAGTTCCCCCCTACGTGGATTGTTGGTCAACCTCGTTGGTCTTTGCTTTTAGTTGGATTTTTCTCTCTGTTTATGTTTTGTTGTCCTGTTTAGGTTGGTCACCTCTTTAGGACGTGTTTTGTTTTATGTTGGGTTAGCTTTTGTCGCTGCAACGGTTCTACTGGTGGTTCGCTTCGTTGGATGTGTCCTGCGGTGGAGGATCCTGGATAATCAGAGGCGAAAGGTTGTTGAGCTAAAATGGTCCTTTTTAGAATTTTATTAGTGAAAAATATATGGTTATACATTGAATGGATTTAATTAATAAGTATATAAATTGTGAATCGCGTGAGGGCAGCTGTGGCTGTATCCTCTGTAATAGACAGGTATCATTGTGCAATGGGTTCGGAAACCACCGAAAACCGATCCCTCCTTGTCTAGCAAGCTCGAACGGAGCATTTACTGTTTATTACGACGATAAAAGACTGGAGTTGCCTCCAGGGTGTCCATGTATTCATCAGGGAGTTCGTTGCTGGCAAGGGCCAGTAATTTAGTGGGTAGAAAAGGAGCAGGTAGTTTTTAAGATGTTTTGGGCTCTGAAATTTTGCCCACGGATGGTTTTGATTGTGTAACTCCTGCTCAGAGAGGAAAGTCTCTCATTAATGGTGTGGATGTTCGACAGTTGATGAATGAGGGCGGAGGGGTAGACGTCGTTTGTTGTTAACTCTACGCAGGATTCTCCGTTCCAATCCCAGCAGTCTTTGTGTGAAGTGGCGGTTGAACAAGATATAAAGATTAAATCTATATTCGATCACCGGCCTGATAAATGTTTTGCGTGTATGTATAAGTGTACGTGGGTGTGCCCGTCCGAACTTACCATAGAGGGCATTGAGTAGACCGACTCTGCTCCTAACAATGTTACAGGCTACTACCAGATCGGCCATCCAGTTTAGTGTTTCAGTGAACACCACACCGAGGTACTCAATGTAGTTACAGAGTTGGAATAAGTCACCCAGAGTCTAAGGTTGTTTCTTCCGGCTATATTGTATAAAGTGAATTTTCTGAGACTGGTGTGTCTAAAGAGAATCGTCTGAGTTTTATTAGGATTAGGTGTTCTTCTCCACCTCCCGCACCACCTGTCGACCAGGTCAAGGTGATTTTGAACAAACCTAAGTTGTGCATTTATGTCTCGTGATGTTGTTACGAGAGCGGTGTCGTCTGCGTAGAGCAAAGGATGTGAGTGTAACGTGGGTTTGAAAAGTCGCTGTTGTGTATGGTGTATAGTATAGGTGCAAATATTGAACCTTGTGGAATTCCTGCTTTAGGAGTAAAAGAATCTGAGAAATGACCTCGCATTTTTCCTTGATTTTACGTTGAGTGACATATGAATGGATAAGTCTAACGAATGGGAAAGGAAGGCCGATGTTCAGCAGTTTCTTGACCAGTCCAACATGCCAGACTCAAAGGCTTTTTAAACATCGAGAAAAATGACAAGAGAGAGTTTGCCGTCGTCTAAACTTTGAGTGAGGTAAGTGGCCGAGAGTTGAAAATGTTGCATATTTATAAATTTCTATATGTCATTTTCAGATCAGTCGGCCAATAGAAAAAATCGAAAATGTATTAAGGCGGGCCGACACGAATCGGTTGATCGGTCCATTAGTTCACGATTAAGGCCCCCGGTGACATAATAAATGTCTTCCGCTGACTGATTTAAAAATAATTTGTTTACTTTATTTTTTTTTAATTTGTAACGTTAACGAATATCTCATCTTCTTCTTACAACAAGAGCAACCCCCAGGGGGTGTGGTGCGGGTAGTGCTTGGTGTAATTCGATAGATTTTAAAGAAATATTCAACGCGTGTTTTCGATCGTCGTATAGACGTCGTAGACATTTAGTCAAAACTCTGTAATTAATAACGGAAAACAGAGTTTGAAAATAATTTATAAGAAAGTTATTTTAACTCTTTCTAAAAATATTTCGGAGTTTAGTGAATATTTTAATTGGTTCTATACTAATAGCTGCGAAAAATAAGACCACAGCGATATTTCCACAATTTATCTTAATCATCCTAACGAGATGGGACACGCGAACAAACAATTCACCGTACATAATTTCGATTTAAATAAAGAAAGCAACAACCCACTTCTTTGGCTATTAGTAACAGAAAAAGCAATTTTCATTATGATATCGCAAACATAAAGTTGCAACGTTTCCTAGATCGTAAACATTATTTTATAGTCCATTGTGCCCTATTATTCGCCAAAACACCACGATCTTTGTCCGTTGTTAATTAATTTTAATGTTTACCGTTCACCGCAAGTGGTATAAAGGGTAATATAAGGTAAAGCAAGATTGCTGTTTTAATTACAGTGGGAAAAGCTCTGCAAAGAGGTAATGTCGTTCAAAGAGATGTGTTCCAAACTTGGTTTAGATGTATACGAGGTGACGTCAATCTTCTGTAGGCAGGATGAGATTAAGAAACAAGGGATGCTAAAAACGATTTTAAAATACTAGAAAATTTTATATAGGTACATATAAAATATTTCAAAAGAGTTTTATTTAACATTATCCAGGGAAAATACATATAGTAATAACATCTTTCTATAAAATTTCTCGAATAATATGCAGCATTTCGCAAACATATGTCTACATATTTATGTCAGGGGCACGTATACCAGCATAATAAAAAAATCAAAAGTCGAATGAACATAACAACGAAATTGAAGTCACCTATTTTTAACAAACCTCGTACTTCTATCGTTAGCCAGAATGGACGAATCAATAAATAACTTGTGACTGTAAAATTACGGTTCTGATTTTATTTGAACATCTAGAAGTCCCGTAAATGAATTGTAGCGGTTACTCTCAACGCATCAGTTTTACAATTTGGGAGAATGATACATGGGAATGTACAATGAGAATACAATGGCGTTTCAAAAAGTCGGCATTGCAAGAATTATTTGTGTTACCATTTTGATATGATTTGCTGTAATGATTTTTTCATCCCATCAGGATTCTTCTCTAATTGTTCATATATCTGTGTAATGCATATTTGTCCCCCTTGACTGTATGACCCAAATATTGAAGTTTCCTAATTTTCACACATTATTTGATTATTGTAACATCTGTATTCGTTCCTCTACCCGTCCATTATGACTGTGTGGTTTCCTACAGCATCATTTGCGGTTGTGGTTGCAGAATTCATTTTTCAGTTTTATTAATGTGTTTCAAGCAGTTTTTATTCTGGATTTTAATAATACTTAATCTAAGTTAATATTGCAAAAAAGAAAACCAAAAATTATAAATTATAGAAAATAAAAATAATACGAAAAATCTATATTCGAAAAATAGTAACAGCAATTCCTAAAAAAACACATTCAAACAGGCAGAAATAAACAATGTCTACGTTAATTGTAGTAATTGTTCTAACTTACCCTTGGACTAACGTAAGAGATCATAAGTTGCTTGTAAAAAAAATATTAACATATTAATTTTTAACAGACCCAACTATATTGAACATTATAACTTATAACAAATAGGATGCTAATTTTTTTTAAATAAAAATAACTTGTCTAAACACTGTATTACAGATTTTTTATGTGATGTGATTTTTTTTTATAGTCTGCAGAAACCTCTTGGGTTTATTTGAGAATTTATTGGTTTATTAGATAATTTATTAAAATTCTATGAAATCTTTTATGGAATTTATGGGACTAATCAACTGCAGCTGTATGTAAGACCTACCCACATAATCTGGAGGCAGGACATCGAACATAAACATCTAATTATAAGCATGCAGCCCATCAATCCCATAAGAATCATTTAAATTTGTGTACTGTAAACCTCTAGGCAGGGTTGTGTTTGCTTTGTTGTATGTTAAATAAATATGACTAGTTAAATCAGTTTTATTTGTTACCAGCTAAATTTTCATTGTGTAATTCATAGTTTAAGACAAGACGGATTCACACTTGAGAGACTGAGCTTGGCGAAGTATAGACGATAAGCTCCTATGATTGATTGAGGTATTATTTTATAATTGTAATTATTGAATTCTCTTTAAGAATAAGACACGTTATAGAATAGGGCAAAATGTCTCAATGGGAGACAATCTTGAAAGAGTTAGAAATTTAAATATTTGGGAGTAATATTAACAGATGATCAGCAATGACACATAGCAAGCTATAACCGACATAGAGGAATAATACACCTCATTAAAGAATAGGATTTTGAACGCCATAGCGTTAGCTCTAATTCCGAGGGATTGTAAAGCTTAATAATGATGATAAATCACAGACGATAACGACACGCAAAAATAAATTAAAGCTAGAATCATCGCAGGCAACAAATGCATGAATGTTGAAAGTGTATAAGGACTTTTCACCTTCAATTAGTACAGTAGAAAGATGGGTTGCTGCATTTAAACGTGGTCGTACAAGCCTTGAAGACGATCCACGACAAGGATGTTCAAAAAAACAACACCAGTAGTCGTAGAAAAATACAAGATATCGTATTGAAAAATCCTCGACTGAAAGAGATTAAGTAGAAGCCCTAGGCATTTCATTAGACAGCGTAAGCAATATTTTAATAGAAGTATTGGCTTTCATACAGCTGTGTTTACAATTACATTCACTAACAATTCAAAGTAACGTAAAAAATAACTAATACAATTTTTTTATTTACCTGATAACCTTCGGGCAATGGATCGTGCCTGATTGTAAGCGAAATTTGGTCTCCAGGTCTTAGAAGCTCCATGACGGCCTCTTGATGGGTAGCATGAGTGACGTCTGTGCCATTGACTTTTAAAATTCGGTCACCAACTTTGAGTTTACCACTTTTAGCAGCTGTACCACCAGGAACCAACTACAATAAAAAATAATTCATAGTGAGATATCTCCCTGTAAAATTTTTTATTTTTGTAATAATTAATTTTGTAAAAACTGTAGAATTGGAACTACTTCCCTTCACATTTCGTCTTTCCGATAAACAGCCCTATTTAAAGTCAAAGTATCAAAAATTAACATAATTTTAATTAATCTTAGTTATAATTTTCAAAAATTTTATTCTGAAACGACTTCTGATCTAAAAGCAGAAACTTCATGGGAAGTAGCTCCAATTTTACAAAAGAGAATATCTACCTACCTATAAAAATAAAACAATATACATTTATCAACTATAAAAATAACTCAAAGCCAAATAAAAATAAATCAAACAAAATATAGTGAGTCTAAAGTGTAGATATATAGATATTCATTATTGTTGGCAATCTCATCATGAACAGATTGACGCTACTTTTGACATTACTCACAAATTTACATTAAAAACCTTACAAAATCCAACCACTGCAAGAATTGAAGCCTCACAACCATTGACGGTGAGTATATTCGGCAAATGGGCCTAAAAGAAAATTGCTGCTGATTCTATTTTCACAAGAATATTCCGTTCAGCGATGAAGTTCCTTTTTTCTTAAACAGCTACGTCAATAAGCAGAACAGTTGCATTTGGAGTGAAGGTAAATCTCAAGCAATACAAAAAAAACAGTCCGTACGGTGAAATATTGTCCAGAACATTACAGTTAATGGTGACCACTATCAAACCGCAATCAATGATCGCTTTTTCTTTCTTTTCTCTGACCCATATACCCTGCATGTCTCTTATTAGAGGACAATATTGTAGTTGTTTTAAGTGAGTAGTCTTTATCTTCAAAGGCTGCAAATGAACCTAGGTAATCCTGAATACCTTTGTTTTGATATTATTTAGTAACTTTGTTAGATCTTAGGTACCTCTGTCTAGTTCTGGTTTATTGCGTGCGTATCTCGATATCTGCCATTTTTTTCGTAAATTTCCTTTCTCTAGTATTTTTGTTTAACTGTGGGGTCAAGTCGGTCTACATTAAGTTTCAAAAGATTATGGCAACCAAATATATTCTATTGCCAATTAATATCAAATATAATCAGGAATTATTTCAGATGCAATTCCATTTACATTAAGGTATGCGATCCCAAGCAAAGAAAAGAAGCGTAAGAAGAAAAATTTTACTTACATGTGAGATGAAAATGCCTGGTTCCTTGGATCCGAATGGAATACTGGAATGATCTGTACCTCCTATAATACTGAAACCTAAGGATCCTCCTAATTTACTTAACGTAACATCCTGAAAATACAAAAAGTAAATTATCAAATACGTGTCCAAAAATAAATTTTTGCCTATAAAATAATATAGCAACAAATTTTTCAAAATATTTATATTGTCTTCATTGACAGTGATTTAACTATAATCATAGAGGGGTCATTTGTTTTATATAACAAGTTACAATCTATGTTCTTCGTTTTGCCTGTTCTATCTATTCTTAGATACAGATGATATACTGAATATATTTTCTATCTGTAATTTTGGCGTTTCACTCCTACTTTTTGCAGAAATTCAACTGCCAAAACGTTTGTATTTGATGATTATCATCGCAAGGTTAAACGTACTGTAAAATACTATCTATCCATTAGTGGACACAGGCATGTTTTTATTTCTACTAATTCTCTGTGTAGTGGTTTTTGTTCCGTTATATTGTTTCAGTATGTTTCTTAAGATTATCATTCCAACTAATCTAAGGTCTTTCTCTTCCTATATTGTATCATCAATGTATTATTAGAATAAAATCTAGATATCTAGAAGACATTATTTCTGAGTATTTAAATCTATCCTTCGATAAGGAATCAATAATTTTACATTCCTTCTTACTATAGTTTTTTCTTTTACTATGTCTATTCAGGTACTACATTGGGATTAATATATGGTCCATTCCATTTACTTTCCTTTTTACTTTAATTAAATTATTCCAATTAGTCTTTGTATTCACACATGTTCACTGCAGTTGCAAAGTTAACGGTTTGCTTTGAAATAAATACTATCGTTTTTTTTTATTTCATCCTAAGTTACTCTTTTCCAGTTATTTTGTTGTTCCATATTCATCAAGTTTTATTATTACTTATGGGTACGTTTTTATCCTAGGTGATTCGTATTTTAAAGATACATAAATCTTCATGTTCATTTAGATATATTTGCGACTTACTGGTGTTGGTTTCGTAACTTGGTACATAAATTAATAATATCTTTCAAATTATTAAGATTTATCTATTCTCATCAGTGACATTCTCGTATCTCGGTGTATCACATTTTGCCAGTTTTGCAATATTTGCTAGAATGGGAGAATTGAAAAATATTTTGTATTTTATTAACAAAATCAAAATGAAGTAGGAAATCAATAACTAATCTCACCAAAATATAAAAATACTGTTGGTGACTTGTTTTATTTGGGGAATATTACAAAAATCTTAAAATATCTAGCAGCTGTTGGAACATTTTTGATATTCCGTTCACAGTGAACAGTAAAATTCGTTCACTGGTTCAATGGCGTCGTTTTATATAAAAAGTGGTCGTGGGAGTTGTGCTTGCGTGCTTATTTTTATATACTTCGTTTTGTTAATGTTTATTATTAAACTCATTTTTGTAGTTGATTCTTTTAATACTACATACGCCTCTCGTACAGCTTTTTCCGTTTTCTCAACAATATTGATATTCTCAGCATAGGAAAGCATTTGCGCTGATTTGTTATGTATTTAAACAAGGATTTAGATTTGTGACATACGTATTACTTTTTCCAGAGTCACATTAAACAGTATACAGGAGAGAGGGTCTCCCTGACGCAACCTGTTTGTTTTAAAAAGTTCAGACAGTTCCACCTGAATTCGTATTCTGCATTCAACTTTTTCAAGAGTTAGTTTTATTAAATTTAACAACTGATTTGGTATTCCTAGCTCTTTCATTACTTTGAACATTTCCCTTTTAATTGAAATGAGGTTGAATGCTCGAATAAATGAACTTTGAACAATAAGGCTATTATCGAGCACAAGTTAATTAAATCTAGCCCAAGTACTTTCGCTTAAAATAGCATCTTCAGGGGCATCTGAAATAAGCCAAGAAAACGTTTTGTAACGTTTTTAAAAATAGGTTTAAATTTAGTACAGTTTAAATTAATTTGAGTGTTAAGACAATGAGAGTTTCCATTCGTTTCCTTTGTGATCTCCAAATCTTCCAATAGATCCAACTCCAAATAGTTTTTCTTTCTACTGAACCAGTATTGATGTTGAAATTGTGTTTACTAGACTCTAAATGTTGACCAAAACTTGAAGAGTTTGGTCTTTTTAAATGTTCTGATATTCTGGTAGATAGCTTTCTAATGGTTCTGCCTACATAATGCCGGGTCCAGACCAAACAGACAAAACAAAAACATTCATGTTTCGCGACAAAGTGGCGAACGTCACTGATGAGATACGATAGACCTTTATGTACTTATAAGAGTTTTTCTTTGTTTACAATATAACTACCGATTCATAAAGAAACATACGCAATAAATATGACTTGTTACCTAAAAACTAAAAACGTAATTATTGTCAAATAAATTCGAATTTCTGTTTATAATAATTTGCAAGTATATACTCAAGAAATATACGTAGCTTAGTTTACTGAATACGGTGCCAAAGGATTAAAGTCCTAAAACTAACTATATTCTAAGTAGAACCAAATTTCAGAGTTCAGCTGGTGGCAATGATTTATCGTGTAAATTCTTGTAATACTATTATAATATAATAATCGTTATATAAAAAAAAAACTACAAAAAGTGCTACCTTAAAATAATTACTACTCTTTATTAATTACAACGCCACTGTATTTTTTAAATTAGATACCAGAAGACAAGTTTATAAAATAATAGAATGAATAATAGATATGTTATGCATTATTTGTAATCTTTCATCAATTTGACATTACTATTTGAGGCCCTATCGGTCATCTTGGCTTATTTGAGGCAGTCAAATTCCGTATATAATGTATATTTTTATTTTCTAATATATTCATTATTAGACCTCCGGTCATTCATTCTTCATAGTAACAAATTGTCTTCCGAAATTGTAGTGTTAAATTTTGTGGCAGTTATATTAAATTGGCAGTCTGCATAGCAGATTATTTTAAGTTGTTTTTCTCCTATTTGATATTCTTTTTTAGTTTTTTACTTTTTCTATTATTTCAACTATGATCAGGTTGAACAATAGATAACTCAAGCTCTTATCACATTGTCAGCTTAAATTGGTCAGTTAGTCCTTCTACTTTTACTTTTATTGTGTTGTTTTGGTAGACATTTTTAATCGTTTGAACTATTCCTAGAGATATCTCTCTTGGATACAATAAGTCGATAACGTCCTGACCCTGTCAAATGTCTTAAGGTCCATGAAACATAAATATGCCAGTTCGTTGTATTCTAATGATTTCTCTTGCTCTTGCCTCATTATAAATATAGATAGAGTTGGTGCATGATCTTCCAGACCTAAAACCTCGTTGTTCTACTTCTTCTTCTTCTTCGTGCGACTAGGATTACTCCTGTTTGCCTGCCTCTTATTCTGTTTCAGTCATTGTTGACTGTACATTATCTTTCCACCTTTTTGTCAGCCTTCTAACGGGTCTTCTGCTATACGGTTTGTTGTTTTTACAGATGTTCTCATTTCTACGTTGTATATTAGTTAGTTTTAATTATACGAAAGAAAGACCCTAGCTTTATATTTTAAAAGGTGTTAAATATTTTCTGTCAATACACAAGATTCTTAACCTCTTTAACCATCATTGACCCGGTCAGGTTCACTAGAAAAATAGGGTGAGGATACAAAAATTCGCATAGGGCTAAAAATTGGTACGTATGTTGGAGATACAAATATATGTATATTAACTGTAAACCGTCCCCATTAATCCCACATCAGCAAAAAAAGCTATTTAATGTCAAATGTCGCTAATTTTCATGTTTTTCAACCAAACGGTAAGTTTTACCATAAAAATACATCAGACAAAAATTGTAGATTATGTAATTATCTACAAAAATTGCCTCTATACTCTATCTCCTAAGAGTCACCGTTTCGGAGATATAAGGGAATCCCTAACATTCGTACCAATTTAGCTCTATGTAAATTTTTGTAACCAACAATTTTTTAACGTCCATCTATCGTTATTATGAATTTTTAAGTAACATTGATAACGTCCATAGTTTTTGTCTTCTCCATTCTGCATTTAATAATGAAAAATATTAAATCATCGGATTTTTTATAATTTTACGTATGTTAAAACACTTTTTCATTAGTTTGTAAATACAAATCGATCCAAAAATGTAGTATTTTAAGGTAGCTAATTGTAATTGCCATCAAATGAATTTAATGACAATCTTCTAGTATTACAAGAACTTTATTAAGATATAGTGAAGCAAAAGGTCGAAAGAAGGGAAAGGTGGATAGTAGTAAGGAGTCGTGTGTGGTTTTTTGCTGTTTTACCTTACTTGCGGCTGGCTGGTAGCGGTGGATCAACTAGCCAAAAATAACACCAATTTGTTAAAACACTTTGTGATATTAAATTCCAATTTTAGTGAAATGAGTGTCTTCTGCATCAATTTCATTAAAATATTAATAAATAATTTAGTTAAACGATTAATTTCTCATGATTTTAAATTAAGGCAATTCAAGGTATTAAAAAAATGTCCAAAAATGAAATATGAGTAAAATACGAAATAAAGTATCCAGAGGCATCTACGCACATCAGGATTTCAAACAGACTTTATCTCCAAGATTATTCTGAATACATATAAAGAATGTGAACTAATAAATTAGTAAAAAATGTGATAGAATGGGTATACCATTAAATGTTACAGAGATTAATACACTACAATTGGCGATGACAAAATTATTTTGGCCCACTATAAGAATTATTTAGAATAAGTAATGCGACAGCTAAAAGAGTAATTGCAAATAGCTGTAATTAAACAGAACAAAATATCTGAGCACAGGGAAGAGAAAAGATGATTTAATTTTGCAACAAAAATTACAAAAATAAAATAATAAAGAAAGGACTGATACACAAGAAAACAAGAAGAGGATATCACCAAGGAGAAAACCAGTAAGCACATTAATGGTGGCCCAAAAATATAACCAAAGAAAGAAGAATAAACATTTATAACACAATTGTAAAGAGTATCGCGCTCTATAATGCTAAAGCTTGAAGATGGACAGATTACAACAAAAAATTGGGTACTATGGAGATGGACATTTCCTATACAATATCCAAAC